TTGTAAAATGGGAGTAATACTGTCACACAGGATTATCATAAGTAGTTAGCTCATGAATGGAGAGGGCCTAGCTGGAACATAGTTATATGAACTCAGTCTTTGATAATACGAACCTGAAATGTTTACAATTATAATTAAATTATAATTTATAATTAAGTTTTTCTAGTTTTCTCTACATTCCTATTTTAATTAAGAACAGGCTAAAAGAAAACATCAATTTTCAAGAATATGAAATATTATTAATAAATGTAAAATTATGACCCTTTGAGACAGAACTACAACAGTGAGCTTGAGGTAAGACAGGATATTATGATCAGAAACCAGGAAGAGTTTCTTGGCAAGAAGGGTCACTGAACCCCAAAGCCCTGAAATCCATTACCGGAAGTTGTAGAAGGTTCCACAGAGTTTCACCTTATTAAGATAGTTTACTATAGTTCCTAAGCACAATAAACCAAATGAATTTTTCAGTTCTGGGATTCTGTCATGATTCTGTACCATAAAGATCTTCTGAATATAATTTTTTTTTGCTAAGGGGTAAGTTCAGTAAGTTTGGGATATGTTTTACCTTTTTGGAAAAAGATCATTACATTATTTAAATTGCAAATCACATATTCCCAAATTACAGTAATGAATGTGTGTATAAGTTATAACATTCAGCTTAATTGTTGTATCTGGGATATATGCACAATGGAAAAAACACAGAACATCAGCATGAACTAAAAAAAAAACAAAAATTATCAACTAAAGCCAAACTGAAATTGGCAATAACGCTATAAATACTTTCTGGTTTATGGATCATAAAACAAACCTCTTCTATAATTTAGGAATTAACACTGTAAATGGAATACTTTGATTCAAATATAGAAAAGTCTAAGAAATATGCATGTTCCTTTCCCATGAACCAACCTCAAAATGTTACTTGAGCACTGTGTGTATCACGGATCCCTAATACGTAAGGATTTCCTTCACATATCAACTTTGGTTTAGCTCCAGCACACAAAGAGTTTCTTATACACATGCTGACTGCCATCTCCTGTTAAAATGCACTGTAAAAACACAGAGCAAGGAAGGGGAGAGGAGAAACATATTCATCCATGGGTACAATTTCATTTTAAATAAAAAACTCAATATGAGGAAAGCAAAAAATACATTAAGGTTGCCTCTTGGTGGCACTCAATACTTTTGTTACAGCAACTGCAAATCAAAGTAAACATGAGAATGCATTCAGTCCAGTCATTCACCATCATTTCAGGGCCATGAACCATTCTGGGAATCTGGCAAAAAGTAGTCTTTCTCCCCTGGAAAAAAAGGTACATTCATACCAGATTTTGCATAAAACATAAGGAACCTCATGATATTCAGGGAGGTATGCTGACCTCAGGTTAAAAACTAAACATTCAGAAATGTTAAAATTGAGCATTCTGATATTATACCTGGGGCAGGCCTTAATGAGTTATTTCTGATCTCAGTGGAAGTTACTGTAGGAAGATCTAGTAATTCTAATGGCATCAGACCTTAATAGCTGGTATGGGTACAGGAGGGGTACAGTGTGGTAGGAAAGGGTACATTATCTAAAAACATTAGAAGTGCTAAAAAACAGTATTTATATTCTTAAGTACAAATAACAATCACTTCACCAGCAAACTGTAAAAACACATACAAGAACTCTTCATTGGCTACTGTTACGTTTTTGGAAGTAGACATGAAGATAAAACACATAATCTCTAATTCGTTAAAGAATATAAAGGACAGGGGCGCCTGGGTGGCTCAGTTGGTTAAGCGACTGCCTTCGGCTCAGGTCATGATCCTGGAGTCCCGGGATCGAGTCCCACATCGGGCTTCCTGCTCAGCAGGGAGTCTGCTTCTCCCTCTGACCCTCTTCCGTCTCGTGCTTTCTATCTCTCATTCTCTCTCTCTCAAATAAATAAATAAAATCTTTAAAAAAAAAAAAAGAATATAAAGGACAGATAATACAAACATCTCACTTAGGACACTTCAACATGGTAATGGGCGGCACTCTGATTTAGTCAACGCCCAAATATAAATTCCCTCACAATTTATTAGTACACATTTGAGCACACTTCTATTTGCAAATTAACTGACATGGATGTGATATAGGATATGTACAACTATAAACATTAGAAATTTATCCTGGTTTTAGGATTCAGATTTTTTTCCCATAAAATTCAGTACATATTTATTTTTTCCTGTCAAATTATTTGTGTTCTGAATGTATTATAAGTGTGTTTTCTCCCTAAGGGAGAACTCACAAATGAGAGCTGCTCTAGGGAAACAACGGCAAACTCCACTTCCCATCTTGCCTGAAGCTCATCTGAGGATACTGTTATCATCTGACAACACCCTGTTCTGAGCCCGCCTTATTCAGTCCCGTGTCCAGTGCGTTACTGGGTCCTGCTGAGTTTATGGTAGAAATCTCACTCGTATCTGGGCCGTTCTTTCCACTACACTGTCCCTGTCTTAGTTCAGGCCTTCTACCATTCTGGATGATTGCAACCACCTTCTGATTTGGTTGCTGGCCACCAGCCCCTCACTCCCCCCCACTTCATCCTCAACACTGCTGTCAGATCTACCTTCCTAAGAGTATCCATGGTATCACCGTGCCTCCACCTAAAATCTCTTCATTTCTCCATTGATTACAAAATAAATTCTTGGCATGATATAAACAGCTCTTCACAGTCTTATTTCTTTGGCCTCGTCTGCCAATCTCCTTGCCTTGTCCCCACTGCAGTCCCTCTGACAGTGTCACTCTTCTACGTGTCCCTTTCCTTTTCTTTGGGCCTTTGAATAAGCCACCTCCTTTTCCTACAATGCCCCTAATTAAAAACTCTTAATTCACCCACCTTTTAAACCCTATTCAAATATTACTCCCTCTGTGAAGTCCTCGCAAGTCTCTAATATCAGAGATTATTTCATTATTATCACCAAGTCTTTCATATCAAAGAGTTCAGTGACTGTGCTTTTCACGTCCCTATAGTTATACGTGTGCATGTGTACATTCCCTACGACACTGGGCGCGCCCAGGACAGGTTCACTGTAATATTCCTGTTGTCTCCCAGCACTTACCGTGGTGCCCAGAACACAGCAGGCACTATATAAATGTTAATGCTCACGTGAAATGTGAAACCTAAAATGTTAAATCAACTAATTGTGTAATCCCAATAAATCCACAGTAAGTATAAATTTTCCCAGTAATAATATAAATCAGTGTCACTAAGCTTTATATGCTAGGGACCTTAGTGGTGTTAGCAGTACAGACAGGGTCAAAAGAAAGCAGGCAAAAGCTCACTGAGACTGAACAGTGGGCATCATTAAGAAAGAAATCCTCTTACGTGTTCTTTACTCTTTAGTTGCTTTACTCCGGATTCTATCATCTTAATGTTGGGAAAGCAATTTTCTAACGTGGTTTTGGTTGCTCTTCAACATCAAACTCCTCCAATACTTTAGAAACCTGTATGAGATCAGGAAGGTAAAAATGTATGTTTAAAAAATATTTCAGGCAGTTTAAATACTAAAAATATTTTCATTCGTTTTTATACACTACTTACTTCATATTCATAAAACGAAGTCAGCCAACTGTAGCGTAAAGAGGGCTAACTCCACATTTTAAGACTTGAACTCAAATATTAGTCCTACCACTTGGGCAAGTCAGCCCGGTCACTGCGCCTTAGTCTCCTAGCCTGGAAAATGAGGGCTGACTCTACCCACTTCTGCATACTTTTACCACAGCTTGTTGATTTCCTTATCCTTACAGTTTTCTCTGTCCACTTACCGTGATCTACCCATCAGCATCCTCTTGGACTCATTTCTCTTCCTGTATAGCCATGACTCCATTGTAGATCATTTCACATTCTGCCCAAACTTTTATTTCCTTACTTTCTTATTTTTAACCATTAATTACCCTGAAAACCCCCAACCACAGATCGAACTGCTTGCCTTTTCCAGTCCTATACCCAATCTGCTGTGGAAGGACCCCACCTTGAAGACTGGCATTTGACCTCAGCTGCCCCCTAAATACTACTGGGAAATCCTACTACATGGCCCTAGCGGTTCTCAAACCTTTAGTCTCAAAACCCCTTTACACACTTACAGATGACTGGGGACTCCGAAGAACTTTTGTCTGTGTGAGTTAAGCCCAGTGATATCTGATACATTAGATATGAAAACTGAGAAAAATGTAAAATATTTAATTTAATTAGAAGTATAATAAATCCAATACATGTTAAACAGATATAATACCCTTTTAATAAAAAAATAACTTTTTTTTCCAAAAGAAAAGAAATTAAGTGAGGCGAATGGCACTGTTTCACATTTTTGCAAATATCTTTAATGTCTGGTCTTAACAGAAGATCTGCTTCTCCATTCCAACTGTTGCAATATGTTAATCTGGTTGATGCATATGCAGCCTTTTCAGAGAACTGTATATTCTTCTTTGATGTTACACTAAAACTCAACAAGCGTGATTTCTTAAAGATTAGATGCAACGGAGAATTTGAAACCATATCAAAGAATTTTTCATCCTCTGTTCTTGTGAAATCCACTGGTCTATGCTGCACTTTGAATGGATCTTGTAACATCACACTCGTCATCTGGACAACAGGGGTTCCCTAAGTTATGGAGATCTGCCCAATGTTAACACATTTTGTATCACTAAAATACCAACAAATCACATTATTATCACCAACAATCTCATTAGAAACGTCTTTAAGTACCACGAGGCTCACAGTGAGGAAATGAGTTTTCCAAAATTCTAATTCTGGCTTGAAAGCTCTAATTTTGTCCTATTGGCAACAAATACTGTCACTTGTTTTCCTTGAAGTGACAGGCTCACTTCACTCATTTTCCAAATATGAATTACTATAGTGTGTCAGTTGTTCTTTCAAGTAAAGCTGGTGTCCGTAAAAGAGAAATTAGTTCCTCTTGCAACTCAGCAACAGCACAACTGCTTTTCCTTGAGACAACACTACTGTGCACAGAACAAGTGCTTTATGCCTACAACCCATTTCATCATACAGAGTATTAAAAAGACGTACACTATGAGTCAGGATTTAATAAAACATTTTTTACTAGCTCTAATTTATTTAACTGAGTGCGTGGCAGTGAAGAATACAATGATCCCAGTCCAGTTTAGCCACTGTTGCTCTTATACCATCGGTGCTTAAGTGTCAATATAGTGACAACTTGCATTAAAGACTGTGGGTAGTAGTCTTCACTGAAGTATGGGAAGAAAACAGTTACTTACTTAACTGTTTTGCATAGGCATTATAACATTCATAATTAGAGCACTATAGCATATGCATATAATTTATAAACATATAAATATACATATATTAGGATTTTAGCCAACACTCTTTTTAACAGGTGACATACCAGATCAAAACTGTTTAGAGATCGGGGTGCCTCAGTTGGTTGAGCTTCTGACTCTTGATCTAGTCTCAGGTCTTGATCTCATGGTTGTAAGTTCAAGCCCCACTTTGGGTGTGGAGCCTACTTAAAAAAAAGTCTGTTTAGAGATCACTCTTCTATGATACTATGACCCAAAAGACTTCTAATGTAATGTTATAATGTGTGTAATATAAATTTATGGAACTACAAAGTGTTCTCAGATGCTTATTACACATGTGAAACATTAATTATCGGCAAATGTGGCTGAGAAGCACTTTTCTGATTTTCAGACACACACATTTATACACATACATCTATTTATAATAATGATATATATTTGTACCCATAGTTAGACTTGCACAGCATTTTCCCTCAAAAGAACTTTAAAATTTTCTAAAAAGTAATTCTGAGTGCGAGGAAAAGATGGGGAAAAAAAAAGACAAATTCAACATTATTTAGGTGCTTTTGATACTTAATATAATTCTAAACTTTGAGCTTTGATCTTAAAATGACTATCAAAAGAGTATTTGTCATTTTAAACACTTATAACTGTAACTACACTAAATGCTAGTCAAGTTACTGAAATTTAAAAACATTAATACTAAGAAAGTTTTATAAAGATTCTTACCTGCTTGAAATTTGTAACCACTTTAATAGCAGGAGAAGCTGTTACCAGGAGAACATCTTCTGATGGAAAGTGAATAGCCAACTTATTAAAAAAAAAAATTGGGAGAAAAAATATGACAAATAATTCAGGTGTCAGTACATATGCGATGGAGGGTGAGACAGGGATAATGCAATTTTAATAATGTTATTAACCTAGGAAACTATAAACTCACTTTTCCTCATCTAAAGGTCTTCATTATTCTGGGTCTTCTTATTTATGAGGTAGTGGTGAGTAATATTCAACTCTGATATTGATAAAATGAGTAGTACATTTACACTAAACACTAACAAAGACCTCCTGAACAAGAAAAAGTATATAAAGAGGTATTCCTTAAAGTTGTCATGCGGAAAATGAGAAAAAAAATTTTCCTAATTAACAGTTAAACCAACTTTTATTTCTTTTAAAATAATGTTTTCATTTCCCTTCAGTGGGATGAAATTATACAGCAAACCCTTACTAATAAGTACTCAGAATCTTAGCCTGACTTTTCCCAAATGCTTTGGCATTGCTCTTCTGCCTCTTTCAAATGCCCAACCAGTATACACTCTGGGAAAACAAAACCATTTCAGTATTAGCTTCAACAGAATTTAGAGGCCAAACTTGCCATTTTTTCCATCATTTTCCCGGGTTACAACCTCTCTCTTTCTCACTTTAAACTTCTTGAAAGAATCTTCTTAAATCACACTCCAGTTCCTCAACTCCACCACATTCTATTTCTTTCCCTACTATACCACTAAAACTGACCATGTTCAACCAAAAACTATTAGAATGAACAAATGAATTCAGTAAAATTGCAGAATACAAAATTTACATATGGAAACTGGTTGAGTTTCTATACACTAATAATGAGCTATTGGAAAGAGAAATTAAGAAAACAACCCCATTTACAATTGCATCAAAAATAATAAAATACTTGGGAATAAATTTATCCAAAGAGGTAAAGACCTGTAACTATAAGCCACTGATGAAAGAAATTGAAGAAGATATACATAAATGGAAAGATCTATCATGCTCATGGATTGGAAGACTTAATATTGTTAAAATGTCCCTACTACCCAAAGCAATCTACAGATTCAATGCAATCCCCATCAAAATACTAATGGCAATTTTCCCAGAACTGGAAAAAAGAATCCTAAAATTTGCATGAAGCCACAAAAAGACCCTGAATAGCCAAAGCAATCTTTAGAAAGAAGAACAAAGCTGGAGGTATTATGCTCCCTGATTTCAAATCAAACTACAAAGCTGTAATGATCAAAACGGTATGGTACTGGCATAAAAAAAAGGACACACATAGCAATGGAATGGAACAGAGAGCCCAGATATAAGCCCACACATAGATGGTCAATTAATCTATGACAAGGAGGCAGGAATACACACAGGAAAAAGAAAGTCTCTTCGTAAATAATGTTAAGAAAACTGGGCAGTTTACATGCTGAAGAATGAAACCGGACCACTCTTTTACACCATACAGAAAAATTAATTCAAAATGAATTAAGGACTTGAATATAAGATGTGAAACCATAAAACTCCTAGAAGAAAACATAAGCAGTAAGCTCTTTGACACCAGTCTTAGCAATATTTTTTGAACGATTTTCCTCAGGCAAGGTAAAACAAAAAGCTAAAAAGCTAAAACAAACAAATGAAATTACATCAAACTAAAAAGGTTTTGCAGAAGGAAACCATCAACAAAACAAAAAGACAACCTACTGAACATCCAGTAACAGGTTAATAACCAAAATATATATTTTAAAAACTTATACAACTTAATTTAAAAAACCCAATTAAAAAATGGGCAGAATTTAAATAGACATATTTCCAAAAAAGACATACAGATGGCCAACAGACACATGAAAACACGTTCACAATCACAAATCATGGAAATCAAAACTACAACGAGATACCACCTCACACCTGTCAGAAATAACAAGTGTCAGGCTGTTGAGAAAAAGGAATTATTATGCACCATAGGTGGGAATGTAAATTGGTGCCGCCACCACGGAAAACAGTATGGAGGGTCCTCAAAAAATTAAAAATAGAACTACCATATAATCCAGCAATTCCACTTCTGGGTATTTACCCGAAGAAAACACGATCAGCAATTCAAAGAGATATACGCATTCCTATGTTCACTGCAACATTATTTCAATAGCCAACCTAGAGAAATAACCTAAGTGTCCATTGATAGATGAATGGATAAAGATGTGGTATGTATATATTCAATGAAAATATTAAGCCATAAGATAAATGAAATCTTGCCATTTATCACAACATGAATGGACCTAGAGAAATAGGTCAGAAAAAGATAAATACTGTATGATTTCAATATTTGTGGAATCTAAAAAACAAAACAAACAGAACAGACTCATAGATAGAGGAAACAAACTGTTGGTTACCAGAGTGGAAAGGGGTTAGGGGCGGAGCAGGTGAAATAGGCTAAAGAGATTAAGAGGAACAAACTTCCAGTTATAAAATAAATAAGCCAGAGGGATGTAATGTACAGCATAGGGAATACAGTCAATAATACTGCAATAACCTTGTATGGTGATAGATGGTAACTATGCCTACTGAGGTGATCATTTCATAACGCATAAAAATATCCAATCATTATCATGTACATCTAAGAGAATACTGTATGTCAATACTTGAATTAAGACCAAAAAAATGAGCATCTTCAATTCACCTATACATCCTTAAAACCCACCAGATTCTTTTTAACATCACCTTATTTGAGCTTTCTATAATACTTGATAATATTACCACTCTCTCCACCTTTCTTTTCTGTATATATTCTGTAATTTATTTCCCCACTTTCTCTTTTCATTGCTACACCTAGCCCTCAAAACGTTTAAGTAATCTCTCTGCCCAAAATGGAGCTTGAACTCACCACCCCAAGACCAAGAGTCGCATGCTCTACCAAGTGAGCCAGCTAGGCACCCCTCAAAACTTCTTTGTACTACCAAAATCACCTTTCAGTTAGCCATCCGGTCTCATTTTAACCAGTGCCCCTGCCTCAAACACACTGCAACTAATCATCTTTCAACATGTATTATTTGACCACATTAGGTCACTGCTCAAAATCATCTCATTACTTGTAAGTTCTTGTTAAATTCTTAGCAAGACTTGAGATAATAATGAGACCCATTATTATCTGGTCTCTGCCAACCTTCCTACCTTCATCTCTGGTCACCTCCCCCAAACACCATGTTCTTTAAGCTTTGCTAATCTCCGGTAATGCCATGCTTTTCCACACAAGATTATATCCTTGCCTTCCTTTGGAATGTCTGGTTTTTCTTGTCTACTTGGTGAACTTTTACTTTCTTCTATACTGAGACAAAAGGATACCTTACCTCTAATTCACACCCTACCAATTCCACAGGCACCCCTAAGCTGGCAAACACACTGATGAAATGATTTATTTACATGTCTCTTCCATTAGACTGTGAGTCCCTATAAAGGAAGTACATTGCTCTATTTATAATCGACTAACCAGCCCTTAGCACAGTACCTGGATCACAGTTGTTTCTTTGGTGAAAAAATGGAAAATACACAACTAAAGATGAGAAGTTTGAAACATCTCTTGAATTTCTTGCACGACCTCTGTGACTTCAGTAATTGTTTATGTTTACTTTATATCAAGGAAACAGTCCTTTTTGGAATGTATATAGGTATATATTTGGTCTGATTATTCACTAGAATCAGAAAAGCACTCCCCAGCTACATTTAATCTCTTGCTAGTTGTTTTACAAAACATTAGAAATGAAATCTCTTCTGGGAATTCAAAGTATAGGAAACAACGTAAAGGTTTAGCAATTATTTACGATGAACTAAGGACCTGGCTTCTACCTGGAAGCTGAATTCAATCAGCTAATTAAGAAAGGAGGCTGAATTTTCTGACCAAGTACTTATTTGTTTGTTTGTTTGTTTTAAGATTTATTTATTT